GAGCAAGTCAGGAAATGTTTTCCTCCACCAGCATCATGTGGTGAACTGGCCAATATTCTGCAAGAACAATGGCTCAAAATTCCTCTGGCCATTGTGCAGGACTTGTTTCTGTCATTCCCAAGACTAAGTGATGCTGTACTGACCACAAAAGTAGGCCCTACACCATACTAATGAGTTATTGTGGTCTAAAATCAGGTGTTTCAGTTTCATTACCCAACCCCTTTATATTAAAAAATGTTGGAAACCTGTAACCACTGACTTCTATAATATTTCTTTTTTCAAGTAAATGGAAAAGTACATTTTCATTTTGGGATGAACATTTTCAATACATTTTCACTTTGAAATGTATTGCAAAGTGTTGTTTAAAATTTTAATTATAATGAAACCTGAAATAATAATGAAATATTGAAAGTTTGGAGTTTTGATTTCTTGTTTTAGTGATACCCGCAGAGAACTGTGTTGTAAAATCTTCATAAACTATTTTATTACTCTTACTATCAGAATATAAGAACCACTGTGAAGAGAGAGAGAGAGAGATTTGTCATTTATATATAAAAGTTTTATTTGACACTATTTGTGTGCAACAAAAGTACATTTAAACAGTAGATTATAAATCTACATATGACACATTGTTCAGTTTCCTGTAAAAAAGCATTTTCAAAATTCAGTGGTCTGATAAAAATAAAATTAAATAATAATAATAATAATCAGCTTAAAGGCTTTTTCCTATAAATTGAGCTTGTTTTGGCAGTGTATAAATACAGCAGACATGTCAGGAATCATTTAAAGGCAGTCGGTGCTGATGTTGATGAAGTCATGGAGCTCTTCACTGTGCCAGTTGTTGTACTGTGTGGCACAGACTGCTGCATCCTGCAAACACAAGAAACAATTCATTAATTATTTTAGTTAGAAGCCTGTTTTGTTTGAGTGTGGTGAATATATCTGTGAAGCAGACATAAATATACTTAAGCAGAAATTCTCACCTTTTCCCAATAGCCTTTAAGACGACATTTTTGGTGAATTTTGAGTCTGGATTCAAGCATTTCTGTCCTGCACCGTTTTTCAGAGTCACACTGTGAAAGATCAAAAGAGATGCAGATATTACATGAAGCTGATCAACTTAACTAAATGAAATCACTTTATACTAAAGTTCTGCTATAAACTTACACAATCTCATGTTTGTTGCAAGATGGACTCGGAGGGAAGATTTCCACCTTATCAAGATTCTTCAGTAAGACCATGTTTAGACCTTTGTCTACACAGAAGCATCTGGCTCTTGAAGATCTGTCCTGACCTGGAAAAGAGGTGTCATAATTAACTTCAAAACCTCAGCATGAGCAAAGATACATGAGCTGAATGATCTTGATGAGTTTTTGAAACTCACCGTTGACCTCTCCAGCGATCAGGCAGGACAGAAGAAGAAAAGCTGCAAGAGTCTTCATGGTCTTCTTGTTCTTGTTCTGGATGAACTGAGCTCGTCTGGGTCAGTCAGATTATAACTGAAGAACAGAAGTAGCTCACTTAAATACTGGAGCATCGGGGGCTTCCCTTCAGTTTTACTTCCCATTTGTGCTCCAACTTCCTCTGCTTTTTCTCTTCTTGAATAGAAGCTATTGTCTTTAGCACCCTGAGCTGAACTTTTCCTGATTGAAGAAGAAAATTTAGCTTGATTGCACTGAAATCTCCTTATTAATTTTGTTTTGGAGGAAACTGTCATAGGCCAAAGTATGGTGAAAAACTTGCATCATCCATTCATTCATTTTGTTTTCGGCTTAGTCGCTTTATTAATCAGGGCTTACAACAGCTGAATTAATCATCTATACATCCAGCATATGTTTTACACAGTAGATGCCCTTCCAGCCGCAACCCAACACTGGGAAACACTCATACACTCTTGCATTCACACTCATACACTACAGCCAATTTAGTCAACCCAATTCACCAATGGAGCATGTCTTTGGCCTGTGGGGTAAACCAGAGCACCTGGAGGAAACCCACATCAACACGGAGAGAACATGCAAACTTCACACAGAAATGCCAACTGACTCAGCCGGGACTCGAACCCAAACCTTCCTGCTGTGAGGCGGCAGTGCTAACCCCTGAGCCACCGTGCCGTCCAAAACTTCACCACTATCAGCTGGATTGGCTGGTTTTATTGTAAATGTTGATTTATTTAGCAAAGCCATAAGAGACCACAAACTAGGATGTGGGATTAGGCGAGTGCTTTTCTGTGGAAGAAGGTCAAATCATTTTCACTTCCTCTTTATTTTCATAAGTCATAAACAGCGTAAGATTGAAATGCTTACATCAATTTTGGTCATAACAGTCCAGTATGAATTATTCTGTCATTTTAAGCACTTCTGGGTAACGTTTATTTGGTGAGTCTGTTTATTTGGGATAATTTATTAAGCACTTTAGAATTATGGTTCACACTTTACAATAAGTTTTCATTAATGCTAGGTAATGTATTTACTAACATGAACTAGAAATCAACAATACTTGTACAACATTCATTAATCATAGTTTAACATTTAATATTGCATTATTAAAATAAAAAGTTGTGCATGTTAACATGAGTTAATGCACTATGAGTTGACATGAGCTAACAATAAATTACTGCATTTTCCTTAATTAAAATTAATAAAGTTTAAGATTTAAGTAAATACATTAACGGAAACTTAATAAAGCGTATTGTAAATTATATTTAGTCAAAAATATATGTAAAATATCTACAGTATATATTTTTTACTTAGTTTGATGTCATTAGTCTTTGGAGATAATTCAATATGTGAGTGATGCAAGTTTTCTAATGAAAAATTCAACAATCAGAGTTCAAATGTTGAAATGCCAAATAGTTTTCAGCGTAAACAAACGTCAACAACACTTTTCTTTTTACTGGAAAATCATCAAGCATTTTCACTACCTTATTCTTTATGTAGGACCTTATTTGTGCTGAAGTCATTCCGATTATCACAATCATGCATAAGAGATGAAAATGAAAGAGAGACTGAAAGTCCTTTGGGGAAATCTGGAAATGCCATTTCAACTGCTGCATCTTTAGAAAATACACAACCCACTATGATACTTTTTTGTTGTTGAACCATTTTTAATTATAGGATTTACTGTGGGCGACATGGTGGCTCAGTGGTTATCACTGTCGCCTCACAGCAAAAAGGTCGCTGGTTTGAGTCCCGACTAGACCAGTTAGCATTTCTGTGTTTCTGCTTGCATGTTCTCTCCGTGTTTGCATGGGTTTCTTCCGGGTGTTCATTTTTCCCCCACAGTCCAAAGACATTTGCTGTAGGTAAATTGATTAAACTAAATTGGCCGTAGTGTATGTGTGTGAGTGAGTGTGCATGGGTGTTTTCCAGTACTGGGTTGCAGGTGAAAGGACGCTCGCTGTGTAAAACATATGCTGGATAAGTTAGCGGTTCATTGTGGAGACCCCTGATGAATAAAGGGATTGAGCCGACGGAAAATGAATGAATGATTTACTGTTTATATAATGGACACTTGTTTGACCAAATCCATTAATTAAACCACAGTTTTAAGTAACCACAAGGCCCACATTTTGATTTGTTGTGCAGTTCTCCTCAAAAGCAAGAGATTACCCTTTATATTCCTGTCTGTTTTCACACAGAGAAGAAACCCCTTGCAAAACTGATTTCAGACATAACTTCTAAAATAACATCATATTTTACTGATCTACAAAATTGATAGCTCTGATTCAATATTTAATTACTACACTATTTATTTCTTTATAATGGTTAATGGTTAAAATTTTTGAAAAATCACACACAGTCCTCCAACCGCTGTCATCTTTAATTTTTAGTTCAGTTGTCACTCAATGGGCTCTATGCACAGCTAGTGTTTTTCAGCCAATAACAAACTCCCGGTGAAAGCTTTATATGTGAATATTTTCACTTTCATAAGGTTCCTTTAACAGCATCAATGTCGTAATCTAATTACAATACATTCAGTTAAATAGACTTAAGCATTCATTTAATTGTTCAAGTGTAAAACAAGATGAAAGACAGTGTAACCGTTAGCACCATTGCACCATTAAATTGACTCCATTAAAAATACTGTGTTAAAATAATATTTTAAAGACATGGTGGGGTAAAACAGAATTTAATGCAGCGGTTTTTGTCTGATCTAAAACCCACTTTATGTTGTATATCTATCAGGCAATAAAGATCACTGATTTTGAAAGAAATGAGACCTTAAGTGTGGCAAATTTACAATGGAAAGACAATTAATCGGAGGAGCTGAGGCTGGCTGGCTGAAATTAACAGTCCATATGCATATAGCCTTTGAATATGCAGGAGTGTATAAAATATTATATGAAATGATACATAAATATTGCCTTCACTAAACAACTGAGTAATAAAAATAACAGTTTCAGCTGTCAGATGCAGCCCCAGATAACTTTGATAAGTTTTGTTTTATAAGTGCTGGATCTAAACTTGGCAGAACAGAGGCTCTATATGAAAATTAATGTACTTCAGTACGATTTTAGGCAGAAGCCATATTCGTGTTGTTTCTGCTATTTTTGTTTTCTTATTTTATTATGTTCATGTCAATTAAAAAATACACTAGTTAGTTACATACTTTTAAAGGTCCCTTTGTGATTAAAATCTTTTATCTATGAAAGGAAATAAGAGTGAAACATTAATAAAATATACAGTTGTTGTATTTCACTGGGTTGTTCAATGATTCTATTTCTTGCAAACAACATCATTATTCTTCATTGATCAGAATTGCTCAGTCTCTGAATCAGTTCATTCAGATATACAGGCATTCTGACAGCCGGGATTACTTAACTAAGTGGTCCTTTTGATTTTCAAATTTGTGTTTTAAAAACTTTATTTTTGATGTTACAATTCACTTGATAATGTGAGAAATGCATCCTCCTGTATGGTAAATATACTAAATAATCTCATATAATAATCTCATACTGTACACAGAGTGTAATTAAGTGTCAAAATATGAACAGACTGTTGATTTATAGAAACATTTATTTTATTTTGCAACAAACTGTAACACAATTAATCATCGTAAGTGGATTTTACAATAGCACTCTATAGCAGTGTTTATTATTCCTATTAACAAACTAAACAGAGATATACACAATAAAATGTACAATGTGATTTTAAAATAATTACAAAGTTTGATTCATATATTAATAAGTAGAAACTAATACAATAGTAAATACATCTCTTCACTAGTCAAACTCATGTGATGTGTGTAAACTGTGGAGGTTTTACAGCATCTGGTTTCATTGGTTTTGAGATGTTCTTCAGTGCCTTTATAAAAATACAGCAATAACTGATCATCTACTGCTGGATCCTGAAAAGACCACAGACACTTCATCAGTAAGTATTACACGCTTCTCAAGAGCCCTCCTGATTAATTCCTGGGTAAATTTAGACTCTGGGTTTAAGCATTTCTGCTCTGAGCTCTTCATGGTCACACTGGAAATAAAGGAAAGATCAGCTAAATGTGTTAAAACAGCAGCATGAATGTGTCAATATCCCTGTATAATCGTTGTTTTTGTCCTTACATAATCTCCTGTTTTCCACAAGATGGACTTGGATGGATGATTTCAAACTTCTCAATGTTCCTCAGTGCAACCCTGTGCAGGCCTTTACCGACACACGAGCACCTGTTAAATTTTTTTTGCCCTGGAATGAAAATGAAGAATAATTATCTGCAGAACAGCATCATAAAAACTAATGTTTATCAGAGATACAGGTGTTGAATAAATAGGTGTTAAATTGTAATAAAGGTCCTAATAGGCAACACTCACCATGCACTTGTGTAGCAAGCAGACACGCCAGAAAAACTAAAAATGCAGCAGTCTTCATTGTGTTGAAGGTTTTGATGACTGTTTGAAGCCGTAAACCCTGAAGATGTTTCCCTGCTTATATATCAGCATCACACATGGGCACAGTTCCCCGTTACACTTTCACAGCAGTTTCAATTTCCCATTTCTTTGAAATGCTTTCACTCAAAGTTTGGGTTGTTTGTCAGTCTTGTGCCATTTGTTTCCTGATTGATAATTAATTAATTTATAAATGGACTGGCGATTAGGGAATTATAATTGGTTGTACTGCAGGTTTGAAAGTTATTGTGAATTTTGTCAAAAAGTCAGGAAGCAAGTAAAACATTTACACTTAACATATTACAAGTACCAAACCACTTATAATATTCTGTAACACTTTACAATAAGGTTCATTAGTTAATGCATTTACTAACATGAACTAATCATGAACAGCACATGTACAGCATTTATTAATCATAATTGAACATTTACTAATGCATTATTAACATCCAAACTCATGCTTGTTAACATTAGTTAATGGACTGAGTTAACGAACTCACAATGAACAACTGTATTTTCATTAACTAACGTTAACTAAACTAACATAAATAAACAATGAACAATACATTTACTACAGTATTTGTTCATGTGAATAAATGCATTAAGCAACATTAACTAATGAACCTTATTGTAAAGTGTGACCTAATATTCAATCCCGGACCAGGCCGTAGGCTATCCTGAGCAGCTGCTGTGGTGGTCATGGAGGAGTAGAGACTCCAGGGATAGATGAGTCTTCACTGACGTCCACCGTTCTCCAGCCTCCGGCGCCTAGACTGCAGCACTGCAAAAGACATTTGGCCATAAGAGAAATGATCGTGCCCAACTAAGCACCCCTCATAGTGACGTCACTCACTCCATTGAGTGCATTGTGTCTGACATTGCATCGCTGAGTGATGCAATCTCTGCTTGCATCATAAAGGCTGCATCCAGATACTATTGAACTGAGCCTGGTTTTTCTCTAGGTTTTTAATCCTTCACTTTTGCCAATTGGTGAAGTTTTTTTCCACGTCGCTGTCGCCACTGATTTGCATGGTTCAGGACTAGTAGAGCTGTGCATCAATGGATTTGCCCTTCAGTGTTTGGGCTCTCAGTAGTGAATATTAAACCACATTGAACTAAACTAAACTGAGGTAAACTGAACTGACACTGTTTTAATTCACTATAATCTTCTATGTTAAGCTGCTTTGACACAATCTACATGGTAAAAGCACTATACAAATAAAGATTAATTGAATTAAATTGAAAATTCATTCATTGTATTTATTCAGTTGTTTAATTCTTGTGGATTTTTCTATATTATTTTGTGTGATTGGCTGTGTTAACAGAACGGATTTAGGCAAACATATACAATGTTTACTTCACCCTCATTTCCTTTCATAGATAATACCTTTTACTTACAAAGGTGCCTTTAGGACAAAAAGTATGCAACTTTTTAATGAAAGTAACTTCAATTTAAAAAGAAACATCGAATTGTTCCTCAAATCCAATCGTTTCCATGTGCATAAATGATCTAAATATTTACACTGACATAATAACAGCAATATTTTTAATCATAAAATAAACTACCGTGATGATGAAAATCAGTGACCTCGAATTAAACAGAACATGGGCCAGACTTCTGTTTTCAGATCAACAGAAGCAAGCATCAGTTTTTACCAGTGGTTCTCAACCAGACTCCAACGCCCCCTTGTGTTCAAGATAGCCCTCAAAAACCTTCCTGTCTAGCTGATGTCTCCCTACAAACATAAAAAAAAACAATATAGGAAATACTGTGAAAATCTTCATGCTCTGTTAAACATCACTAAGTATGTATTTGAAAAATAATTTATAATATTTGAAAAATAATTACAATTTTACAGGAGGGCTATAATTTTGCCCTCTTTGTATCATATGTACATTTCAGGTTGTACCTCTGGGCCCCCTTGCAACTAGTTGTCGCTGGGCCCCTAAATTGCCAGGGTCCTGTGCACTCTGTTGCCCTTCAACAAGTATAATATTAATAAAATAAAACACAAGTTGCTAATATTAATGCTAATATTCATAAACAAATCCTAGTTTAAACATGTTTTAAGGAACCTTATGAAAGGAGGTTTTTTTAGCACCAAAAAGGGTTCTGCTAATATTGTTTCTAGCTGAAGAAGTCTAATTTGGCACTGTTTGAAACCAATTTTTCTAGCAGAGTATAAAAAACAGCATAATTGCTTGAGGAACCAATAACAAAGATAAATCACCTTAAAAATGAAGACACCTTTAATACTTCATAGACATTTAGATTTTATTTCACATTCCACTGACTAATATTAACATCATTTGTTAAATAAGCGGTTAGACATTACATTGTCATATAATTTAAAAACGCAAAGGAACTTTTAAAAGTTCACCCCATAACATTTTGTTCATCATTTACTCCCTCTCAAGTGGTTCTAAACCTTTATGAGTTTTAAGTTTTATCGGTTGAACACAGTGAAGATATTTTAAAAAATGTTGGAAACCAGTAGTCTGACTTTCACATTAAAAAAAGTAGAAATTAATGACTACTATTTTCAACATTCTTTTAAATACATTTTTGTTTGTTTGTTTGTTTCAATAGAAAAACAAAGCTCAAAGTATTTTAACAAAGGTTTAAAACATATAGAGGTGATTAAAGTAAAGTTAAAGAGGGAACAATCCCTTTAAAAGCAAGGTACAAACTGGGCACATTATTGACATTTGAAAATGCAGCTTTCCTCTTCTTTATGCATTTTATTGAGCACTCCTATAAACAAAATATAAACATTTATTCATTATCATTCATTTATATTATGTGAAAGATAAGCAGATCGGGTTATTGAATCAGTATCAAATGTAATGTCACTTATAAGAATCACCTGGTGTTGTTTGCAGTTCTCTGCAAGATCTTTTTGATGAACTTTGACTCTAAATTTAAACATTTTTGTCCGGCTTCGTTCTTTAGCGTGACACTGTTTAGATACACCATAGAGTTATTACAAAGGAATACTCACAGACATCCTAAATTTAAAACTATTAATTAAAAAGAATAATTAATGTACTGTACTTAACTTCCAAACGTGTACAAAGTGGATTTGGATGGAAAATGTCAATCTTCAAAATCAGCCTTGGCTTCACGATGTTGACTCCAACACCCTGACACAAACATCTGTGGGTTCTAGATTGTGCTGGAGGACAACATAAAGACCAGAGTAATAAAGAACAAAGAAAATGACTGTAAAAGGTACAGTAATTTATAAAACATGCAGAAGCAATCTTAGTTTCTTCAATATCAGCAATAGCTAAACTGACAAAGACAAGTAGAGCAGTCTTCATAATTTTTCTTTTTGTCCGTGTACTTTCTACCAGTTTGATAGTTTTTGTTTTATTCAGGTCCATTTGACTTTTTTGTTTGTGAATTACGCCTCTTTTATCTCATTGGGCAAACTGCACTGTCTTCTTCAGTCAGGCTGGAATACAGTGAATTGAGCCACTGCCAGGTCCAGATTAATGATCTATTAGTGATTCACAAACCATCACGCATCAGAGCTTATTTGGAGCAGAAATTTGGCTGGACACATAACATGTCTAAAAAACACCAAAAAGCTTGTGAAATCAAAAAGTGTAAAAAGGGTCAAAATACAATAGGAAGTTGTCCCTTTAGATTAATGGTCTCAAACTCAATTCCTGGAGGGCCGCAGCTCTGCTTAGTTTAGCTCCAACTCACATCTGCCTAATAGTATGTAGCAGTCTTGAACAGCTTGATTAGTTGGATCAGCTGTGTTTGATTAGGATTGGAGCAAAACTGTGCAAAGCTGTGGCCCTCAGGAATGCAGTTTGAGACCAATGCTTTAGATAAACGTATTTGAAGGCCTATGTTTCACTGCAACAGAATTGTATGTAAAAAATACTAACAAACATTACCATATGTCCTTGAAATTCATACAGCTGAATCAGCAATTGCAAAAATAAATAAATCAAATAATGTTAATAAGTATAGTTGTAGAAAGGATTAAGAGATCTTTGAACGTGTAGGCAACGTAACAATAATGGGCCTTATAGGATGAAGGTTGAATGAGAACTGTTTTGTTATGCTATAATAGTGTAAATGATGCTTTTATCCAAGGAAACTCTCTCACACAAACACAAACACACACCAGAAGCAGTGAGAAGGATCTGGCTGCAGACCTGGTACAGATAGAAGCTGAGCTGCATGAAATGCTTTTAATGTGCGCACCTAATCCCCTAACCCCTAACTAACCCCACCTCTCACAGAGACGTCACTAGCCCCATTGAGTACATTAGTGTGTTGGAGATTGCATTTCAGAGATGGAGTGTTTCAGCTTGCATATGAAAGCCTGTAGTCAGTCACTTTTGGGGTCGGTGAGCTCCTCAAGAAATAGTTGGGGGTATGATGCAGACCCGTAGCCAAGAGGGGTTCGGGTGGTTCAAAAGACCCACCGCTTAATGACAAAGGTCCAGAATTTGATTTGTCCCATATAACCCCCTTGAGACACCCCCCACCCCAAAATTTTTTTCTGTGGTTTCTTACATCATTTGGGTTAAAACAATTCTACAATTTAGAGTTTTTACATTTTGTTTTTGTTTTTAATTTTACAGCATGTCCACTGTAGTGGACCACAGGACCATATTAGTTAGAAACCACCGACACTCAGACAACAAAACTGTACAGGATATGTCTGTAAAGGGATATTAATCCAATATTAATGCAACAAAAACAAAACAAAGGCCATTTGTCCTATTGTATTGAAATTCCTGAAACAGTTTAGTCTGAAAAAAAAGCCGAACTCAAAAAAAAAAAAGAAGCGATTCAAAACTGATTGTGATTCTCTAATTGTCTCTAATTCTCTGATTGTCAGACTCTAAATCAGAGTCTTCCTCAACTATCTTCTAAAGAATCCTCTCTGCTTCAGTTCTGCCCCCTACAACATGCAGTCATTAATTACATTGAGATGGTCCCGGTGTTCACTATAATAGACATTTAAAAAGGAAAATATTTTGAAACACAAACAAGTTAACAGCTTTGAAAGCTAAATGTATTGTTCCTGACACTTTAATAAACAAATTTATATGTAATAATTATAGTAAAAAAAATGTAAATGTAATGTAATGTAATGAGCAAATTTAAATAACATCATAAATAGTGAAAATAACCCATGCAAAAAAGTTTTAAGTCCTCTGTTGGCGGTCGGTTCGGTGTAACTCAGCTAATTAGTTTTGGCCAGTGCACACAATTCATTTCGATGAGTTCAACTTCCAGCTGTGTAAGAGGACATACAATCTGAGGTAAGTAAAGTCATATTTTGCTACCGTATTGTGTAAAGAAATAGAGAAAATATTTTACAAGGAACTTTTATTCTAAATCTTGGACCTTATTCTTGAAACAAAAAAGACAAATGAAAGGTGTGAAGCACCAAACGTGACTAATAGTATAATTTATATCTGAATAATATTTTGCCTATTGTTGTTCTTGAATTTTCACATGTACGCTTTGGGTTATGATGAACATCCGACAATCTATTTCAGCTAAAGTAGTACTTAAAATATCACAAAAATGCAGCATTTAAATCCCATAATAAAAATAGTAGCGTAAATGAGGGCTATTACCACAAAAAGGTCCACTTTTTGAGGAAAAAAGAACAACCCCTTTCACCTGGCTGAGACACCTCATCAATGGATGAGAGTGCTGGTTATTTACTCGCCCAGTTATAAACCCTGCTACTACTCAAACCTGCGACCTTTGGCTAGAGAAGATATAGAGAAGTCCAACTACCTAAACATTAGGGTATGGCTGGCCAACTTCTCTCTGTGTGTATACAAGAATGTGTTATGTTGTAAGTCAGAGTAAAATAAAGTCTGTAATAATGCTTGAAAGAGTGAGTTTAGAACTGACTGTGTCTGCCTCCTTATTCAGATTGCACACCTTGTGAATAAAAAAGCAAGCAAAGAATAAGTCACACTTAATGACCTAATTATCTGGAACTAATGGCTAAAGATGCTATTGTGCAGATGTAAATGGGGCAAAAGGTACAGCTGTGAACATGGGAATGCGCACATTAATATATTATTATTTTTTATATATATTAATATTAATATAAGTTACTGTGGGCGACACAGTGGCACAATAAGTGGCACAATCACCCCACAGCAAGAAGGTCGCTAGTTCGAGGCTCAGCTGGGTCAGTTGGTATTTTTGTGTGGAGTTTGCATGCTCTACCCTTGTTAGCGTGGGTTTCCTCCGGGTGCTCCGGTTTCTCCCACAGTCCAAAGACATGTGGTACAGGTGAATTGAACAAGCTAAATTGTTCGTAGTGCATGAGTGTGAATAAGTGTGTATGGGTGTTTCCCAGTATTGGGTATCCACTGCGTAAAACATATAGTATGCTGAATAAGTTGGCAGTTCATTCTGCTGTGGTGAACCCTGATTAATAAGGGGACGAAGCCGATAAGAAAATTAATGAATAAGTTACTGTAAGTGGTAGGGCTACGATGAATGTTAATAAAAACAATGTAATGTGTAATTTAATAATTAACTTCTAGGAACAACCCGCTCAACCCCAAAACGCTTGTTTCACAAGACCATCAGGTGACCTGAAAACAACAGATCATTTACAGCACAGATCATCTGTGCCTCATTGCCTCATACATTTACCCATGAGTGTAATCATCACACAGAGAAATGTAGTCATATTTTTGGAGGAAATTTTTTTTGCATTTATTTTTTTTGCTATATTATATTATATTATATTATATTATATTATATTATATTATATTATATTATATTATATTATATTATATTATAGGAAATTTAAGGAAAGACTTCCTTTCATCTTTAACAACACAAGCCAATCATTCAGTTCGTAAAATTCAACATGTAATGTTGAAACCAGTTGTTTATCTTCTTCAGGCAAACCAGTTTTAAGTGTCAAGTCATGCTGTCCTGTTGAACATTCTTTACACTGTTGACGACCTACTTGAAGTACAGCACAAACACTGTTGACCGGCTGAGTCACATGCTTCAGTTCAGTCCGTTCACTTCATGCCTTCGGCGTCATCTGGAATCCACCCATTCAGCTGTGCTCAGACAAGCCCTGACAAAGACTAGCAAAATGAAAAGCTTGATTTATTCTAAAAAGGCTGAACTATAGTGCATATTAAACATACAGTTGAAGTCAGAATTATTAGCCCCTCTTTTCATTTTTTTTTCTCTTTTTTAAAGATTTCCCAAATGATGTTAAACAGAGCAAAGAAATTTTAACAGTTTGTCTGATAATATTTTTTCTTGATGCCCTTCCAGCCACAATCCATCACTGGGAAACATCCAGTCACACACACACACTACAGACAATTTAGCTTACCCAATTCACCTGTACCGCATGTCTTTGGACTGTGGGGGAAACGGAGCACCCACTCAAATGCAGGGAGAACATGCAAACTCTACACAGAAATGCTAACTGTCCCAGCCAAGATTCGAACCAGCAACCTTCTTGCTGTGAGGTGACAGCACTACCTACTGCGCCACCACGTCGCTGTGACATGGTGTTGTTTAAACAAAAAATTGTTGAATGAGATCAGTATTAAACATTTTATTACTAACATAATTTTCTTTCAAAGACCTGTCATGAACATATCACAGACATATCTTTGTAAATGTTTCCCTTGTTTACAGAGATATTCAATGTGCTAAAATGTTTAAACAGTACTTATTATTACTGTTATTATTTATACCATATTTATGTTGCTATCAAGTTAAGTTACATGAAGAGTTTGAAGACTTTCATGTGACAAATACTCACACAAATGTTCAAGGTACACAAGGACAAACACTCATCTGAGCTCAGTGTGGTGATGTGGCACCTGGTGACGTTTATCAGTGGGTTGAGCAATTACAACAACCAGCAAAGTTCTAGAATTTGTCGAAACATTTATGTTATATATTTCCTGAGAAAATTTCTGAGTAAGTTCTTAAGTGTTATTGCCAGCAACATAAACAACAGATGGCTAAATGAATAAATGATAACAAAGCAGTAGGCTTAAATAAACCTAATTTTTATAGGCTGCCCTCTATAACCCTCAAACAGTGATTAGTTTTGTACTTTTAAACTTCCCCTTTCATTCATATTTCAAGAAAATTGGTTCAGAAGATCTGGATATTCTAGCAGTTGTTGAAGCTCATGGAGGGATCAGTGACCTGATTCCACAATGA